ACTGTATAGGGTTGCCTCTTAGAGAGTACAACACTTAGTGAGTACTCTCACTCAATCTACCATTCACTTCTCAATTCTGATACGATGGACATCCCTCACAAATCCGAGCTTAGAGTGTCAAACATGTCTATTTGTTATGTTTGTATAGACTGTATAGGGTAGCCTCTTAGAGGGTACAACACTTAGCTATATTGTGTGTTCTCTCCCTCTATCACCATCATTCAATTTTCTGATATGGTATCACGCGTAGGTAGGATCCCCCCCCCCACCTACCGCTTCCGCTCATGCCCCCTAGCGCCCCTCCTGGGCCCCGTCGCGCTCCTCCCAGGCCCCATCGCGCTCCTCCCAGGCCCCGTAGCGCCCCTCCTAGGCCTCGTAGCGCCCCTCCTGGGCCCTGTACCGCCCTCCCAGGCCCCATCGCGCCCCTCCCAGGCCCCGTCGCGCCCCTCCCAGGCCCTCTAGCGCCCCTCCTGGGCCCCGTCGCGCTCCTCCCAGGCCCCGTAGCGCCCCGTCGCGCCCCTCCTGGGCCCCGTAGCGCCCCTCCTGGGCCTCGTCGCGCCCCTCCTGGGCTTCGTAGCGCCCCTCCTGGGCCCTGTAACGCCCTCCCAGGCCCCGTCGCGCTCCTCCCAGGCCCCCTAGCGCTTCTCCTGGGCCCCGTCGCGCTCCTCCCAGGCCTCGTCGCGCCCCTCCTGGGCTCTGTCGCGCCCCTCCTGGGCCCCGTCGCGCTCCTTCCAGGCCCCGTAGCGCCCCTCCTGGGCTCTGTCGCGCCCCTCCTGGGCTCCGTAGCACCCCTCCTGGGCCCCGTTGCGCCCCTCCTGGGCCCCGTAGCGCCCCTCCTGGGCCCCGTCGCGCCCTCCTTGGGCCCTGTAGCGCCCCTCCTGGGCCCCGTCGCGCCCCTCCCAGGCCCCGTCGCGCCCCTCCCAGGCCCCGTAGCGCCCCTCCTGGGCCTCGTCGCGCCTCTCCTGGGCCCCCCGTCGTGCCCCTCCTGGGCCCCGTAGCGCCCCTCCTGGGCCGCGTCGCACCCGTCGCCGCCGCCCGGCCCCGTCGTGCCCGCCCGGCGCCGTCGCCGCCGCCCGGCCCCGTCGCGCCCGCCCGGCGCCGTCGCTCCCTGCCCGGCCCGTCGCGCTCGCCCGGCCCCGTCGCAGCCGCCCGGCCCTGTCGCTCCCTCACTCACCCGACCCTCCTGTGGCACCACCGCCTAGGTCACCCTGCGCTCCCGCGTCTGCGTCACATGTCCCAGCACGGTCTTGTCCTTGGTCTCCCAGGTTCCCTCCCCGCGTTTCCCTCCTCCCCAGCTCCACCTTGCACGCCTTGTGTCGAGGGTCGGCTTCGCCGTGCCCCTCACTCCTCCTCGTTCCCCCCTACCGTCGCGCCGCTGCAGACCCTGCACCTGGACGTCTGGGGCCCCGCCCCCGTCCTTGGGCCGCGTCGCGAGCGCTACTTCCTTGTGCTTGTCGACGACTTCACTCGTTACACCACAGTCTTTCCCCTGGAGCGCAAGGCCGACGTGCCTGGCGCCCTCATCCCCTGGCTTGTCTCTGCGCGTGTCCACCGCGGTCTCCCTGTCTTGCGTCTTCACTCAGACCGTGGTGGCGAGTTTGCCTCAGGTGTCCTTGGTCGCTTTTGTCGTGCGGAGGGCATCACCCAGACGTTCACCCTACCGGACTCCCCACAGCAGAATGGGGTCGCTGAGAACGCATCGGCTTGGTCATGGAGGTCGCTCGCACCTCCATGGTCCATGCCGGTGCACCCCATTTTCTGTGGCCGTTCGCTGTGCGCTACGCTTCTCACCAGCTTAACCTGTGGCCGCACCCTCAGCAGCCGCAGGTTTCGCCGACCCGTTTGTGGACTGGGTCTCCTGGTGACGCGTCTGCGTTCCACGTCTGGGGCTGCCTTGCTCACGTCCGTGCCTCCGGCACGGACAAGCTCACTGCCCGCACCCTTGACGCGTCCGACTGGCACTTTTACCACCCGCCGTCTCACCGCTTCTTTCACTCTCGTGACGTCACCTTTGACGAGTCCGTCTCCTACTACCGCCGCTTCCCCCATCGTGGTCCCCCGGTTACCCCCCCCCTGTTCCTGGTCACCCCTTCCCTGGTAGTCCCTGCCCCTCCTCCTCCTCCTCCCCGTCCCGCCCCCTCTGGTGTCTCCCATGTCACCCCCCTTCCGTCCGTGGACCCGGTTGAGGAGTCTTCTGACTCTGGTGGCCCTCCGGTGCAGTCCTCGCCGGCCGCCCCTCCCCAGGTGTCCCCTCCCCAGTCCCCTCCTCCGCCGTCCCTGCCGCCACTGCAGCCGTCGCCGTCGCCGCCGCCGCCGCAGTCGCAGCCCCCGTTCGCTGACTCTGGGGGTGCTCGTCCCGGTCGCCCTGAGGGTGGTCCCTCTGGGGGTGCGGGTGTGGAGCGTACCGGTGGTAGCCGAGGAGCAGCTTGCGGTCCAGGTGTCGCCGTTGTGCCGCCGCAGCAGCAGTCCCCGCCGGTGTCCGCCCTTCGCCTGCTCGGCCTTCCGTCCCCCGACCCTGCGTCGGTTCCTCCCCGACCGTCTCCTCCTCTTCCTGTCTACGGCCCTGTTTTCCCTCCGCCGGACTCGTCCCCGGCCCGTCTCCCCCCTCGTTCACCTCCTGTGTCCCCTCCCCTGTCTCCTGACCCGACTCCTCCATCGCACGTCTGGTCTCACCGTCCCTCCCGTGCTCGTCCTGCCTCGCCTGTCCTGCGCTCCCACCCTATGTTGCTTCGTTCACACGCGTCTCGTCCTCCCCTTCTGCCGTCGCCTCCTCCGTCCTCCCTTGTTGTTGCGCCCCCCCCGCTGTCCGACTACCTTCGTGCCGCTCGTCCCCTCGTTCCTCGGGTCCTTGCCTCTCTCGTTACCGACCCGTCTGTTCCAGTCTCGTGCCTTGACGCTCTTGTCGCTGCTGTCGCTGACTTCGCCTCTACCCGCCGCCTTGACTACGCCACCGCTCTGGTCTGTGACCCTGCCTGTCCTCCGTCTGTCGGGGGTGCTTCTGCCCTTGGCAGTGACGTCCTGGAGGACCGCCAGTTCGAGCTTGCTTTCCTGTCTGAGGCTGCTCCCCATCTCTGTTCCATGCTGCTAGTCCCTGAGGGTGACCCAGACGCTTTCGACATCCCGACCCCTCGCACTTACGCTGAGGCGACTTCGGGACCCTGGGCCTCGCAGTGGATAGCTGCCATGGAGCAGGAGATGGCATCTTGGAGATCCACCGGCACCTTCGTCGACGCAGTTCCCCCACCTGGGGTGAACGTAGTCGATGGCCGCTGGCTCTTCAAGGTGAAGCGCCCTCCTGGAGAGCCGCCTGTCTTCAAGGCGCGCTATGTGGCTAGAGGCTTCAGTCAGCGCGAGGGGGTGGACTTCTTCCAGACTTTCGCTCCGACCCCGAAGATGACTACTCTTCGGGTTCTGTTACACCTAGCTGCTCAGCGTGACTACGAGCTTCACTCTCTCGACTTCTCCACTGCCTTCCTTCAGGGCAGCCTACACGAGCAGGTCTACCTGCGGCGCCCTCCGGGCTTTACTGGCACCTTCCCTCCTGGGACCCAGTGGCTCCTGCGGCGCCCCGTCTACGGCCTGCGCCAGGCTCCCCGTGAGTGGCACGACACTCTGCGTGCTACGCTTGCTGACCTGCAGTTCTTTCCGTCTTCTGCAGACCCTTCACTCTTCGTTCGTGCTGGCCAGACTCCGTTCTACATCCTCGTCTACGTCGACGACCTGGTCTTTGCCACAGCAGACAGGGACGCGCTGGCCTCCGTGAAAGCAGAGCTGCTGAAGAGACACACGTGCACTGACCTTGGAGAACTGCGCCGTTACCTTGGCTTGCAGATCTCCAGGGACAGAGCTGCGCGCACCATCACCCTGACTCAGTCACACTTGGTGCGCCAGGTCCTTCAGAGGTTCAGCCTTCAGTTCTCCTCTGCACAGCCCACCCCTCTGCCTGTAGACCACAGGCTCTCCGCTCCAGTGCCTGAGGAGTTGGTAGAGCCCAGCGGCCCCTACGCAGAGCTGGTGGGTTGCCTCATGTACCTGATGACTTGCACTCGCCCAGATCTCGCATACCCTCTCAGCATCCTGGCTCGCTTTGTGGCCACAGGCAGACACCGACCGCAGCACTGGTCTGCCGCTAAGAGGGTTCTGCGTTATCTTGCTAGTACATCGGGCATGGGGTTAGTGCTAGGAGGACGCAGGCCAGCGGTCCTTACTGGGCACACAGACGCTTCGTGGGCAGACGACGCTGAGACACTCCGGTCTACCCAGGGCTACTGCTTCAGCCTTGGCTCAGGTGCCGTCTCGTGGAGAGCTACTCGCTCCTCGTCTGTTGCACAGTCCAGCTGTGAGGCTGAGATCTACGCCGGTGCCATGGCGGCACACGAGCTCCGCTGGCTGACCTTCTTGCTCACTGACTTAGGTGAGCGACCTAGCTCTGCCCCGGTCCTGTTCGCTGACAACAGGGCCATGATCCTCCTATGTCAGGAGCCTCGACTCGAGGGCAGAGCGAAGCACATTCAGCTGCGGTACTTCCTCCTGCGTGAGCTACAGCAGCGACGTCAGGCTCGCGTAGTACACTTGGCCTCAGGTGCCAACACGGCTGATATCTTTACGAAGGCGCTTGCGCCTAAAGATCATCAGCGGCACTGTGTACAGCTTGGTCTAGTTCCTGTAGCCTCTCACTTGCTAGGACCTTGACTTTGTACTGTCCTTTATATGTATACTCAGACTGGACTTGTGTCCTCTCCGAGTGGCTGGACTAGTAGTGCCGCCCTGCTCTTTGCTTGCCTTGTCTGTACTCCTTCTGACTGGTCGCTCAGACCCTTGTCTCAGAGGTTGGACTAGTAGTGCCGCCCTAAGCTGTTCGTTTAGGACTTGCCCCTATGCAGTCTAGGGGGTGTGTCAAACATGTCTATTTGTTATGTTTGTATAGACTGTATAGGGTAGCCTCTTAGAGGGTACAACACTTAGCTATATTGTGTGTACTCTCCCTCTATCACCATCATTCAATTTTCTGATATAGAGGTGCGATGGACATCCCTCACAAATCCGAGCTTAGAGGTGCGATGGAGTACATACGGTATCTCCAACCACAAAAAAGGCTATCTCCGCAATCCTATTCACCACCTCCTCTCCAGCTTCTTGCCGCAATACTTATGCTGCATACAGTCACCACCACGTATGCAGCTCTCCGTTAAACCATACCTTCGAATGCAATCTCATCCAAAGTCCCATTCTCCACTATCTCATTCACAATTCCCCTCTTCAGCTTATCACCCGACTGGTGGAAAACGCAAGGGTATGCCTTAGTCACCCTGGAATACACCTTGACCTCAGTTCCAGACCCCTGCACTTCAAACTGCTCTAGTCTCCGCCCTCCCAGGAGCTCTATCACTGCGTTGTAGTGGTCTAGCTTGATAAATGGCGGCGGTGCTGCTTGTCGGGCATCTTCTAGCTTTTCCGGGGTAATTCCCTCTGGAATTAGGTCTTGCAAACCGTCGGGCAGAGTGCAGAAATATTTCAGGGTGCCCGGAGCAGGTGCTGGAGTCTTGTAACGGGCCGGGGAATCCTTGGAATTCCCGGCTGCAGAAATCGCTGCTGCTTCATTTGCACGCGAGCTGGCTTGCTGGGAAAGAAGTGACTGTATTGAAGGGTAATCAGCTTCAGGGTAAGGCGTCCGTGGGAGGGCGTTGAAGAGAAACGGCTGGGCCAAGTAACCTGTAACGAACTGTCGCTGATCCTCCATACAGTCACCCGTGTACGTCGCGTCTATCATCTCCAATAAAGCCCACGCGTACCCGATATAAGACCCCGCGTTAAGGTGCCGATTCGGAAAAGGATACCTGACCTTCTGTGGGTAAAACGGGATGACTTCGTTTGTTGGATACGCGAAGATCTCGGCTCCGAAAACGACAGGAGCGTTAAGGGACAGGAACGCTTTAATCAACTGGTCGGGACCGCAAAGCTCGCGATTCGGCAGCAGCAAGACGTCGTCGGCATCCGTTACTATCACGATCCGGTCGCGCGGTAGAGTCGTCATATACTCCCGATAGTATCTCACGCGACCGCCTAATCCTTTCCAGGTCTCATTCAAACCGAGCACCGCGAACGGAACTCCCACCAGGTCGCAGAACTTAGCTAAGCGTTGAACGCCTTTTCCGCACCGGGTGGAGAAAGTGATCCATTCGATCTGGCAGCCGGAGTGGGTGAAAGCGGAAGTGGGTTTTATATCCCGAGGATCCACGCTGGAGTCATACGCGACCCGGCAACCGTCTCTCCCGGGATTCTCCGATCCTAGATTCGCCGCGATTAGATTCTCCGTTCCTAGATCCCCCATTCCCGAATCATCCGCTTCGCTGCTGCTGCTGCTGTCGCTTCCATGGGCCATGCGCAAGTAACGAGTTTCGTTTCCCTTGTCGAAGCCTGCTTTACCGCGTATGGCGGCTGCATTCACCAGATCGGAGCACGCAATACCGCGGAAAAATGACGTGGTGTGCATTCCCTTGTACGCAAGACCCACTCCGACGCACGAGTCGAACGAATCGCGAAACGCTGCGACATCGGGACTCGAGCCTGACGAGAAATTGTACACCCAGACCAACAGTAGCGCGAACGAAATGATCGCGAAAGCGGTTAACGCGAAGGCTCCTTTCGCGACACGCCGGAGCGTCGACACCCAGGAGTTACTATGGACCGATAGGGTGGGTTTCGCCATTCTTAGAGCGTCGGGCTGACTTGAACTCGCCGTTAGTATATCTCCGTAACGCGTCGAGACACGGGTGACGTCCTGGCACGAGGAGGCTACGACTGGCTGGAAATAAATTTCAGCACGCGCCTCGGCTTCCCACGTCGGCTTCTCGTCAAGACTGGCTCCACCAAACGTTCACCATTTCTCCCGCGCGTCTGCTAAAAAAGGTTCCTCCTCATGCGCTAGGGCTGTAGATGTTACGAGGAAAGAAAACACGGACGAATCTAGTGACGCATGGGGATCAGCCACCATTGATTTGTGAGGAGTCCCAGAAAGCGCTGGGGGCGTGTCCTAAAGGAAAATTAGGTCGTGGGATGCGGTTCACTTCGGTTGTCTGCAGGTTTCGAGTGGTTCTGCATGGTACAGTTCCATGGTGGTCCTGTCTCAAATTCTGAAGGCTCGCTCAGCCACACCCCTTCTCGCAGCCAAATCAGCATTGTGTACGCGTTATTTGAGTTTGCAGCTATTCAAGTCGTTCTTCATAAGTGTTGTTTCTGTACACAACATCCATTCAACTAGATCCAAGCTGAAACAAACTCCTGCACCCCCATCGTTTCTTGCAAGGACATCACCTCATCTACATTTGCAGGTGGTTCCCTCCCACGGTGCTATTTGTAGCAGAACGTTTGACACATCAGATCTGAGCCGTTGCAAAGAAGTTTTGGAAAAAGCGCAGACCGTCCGCAGCATCGTCGCGACACAGAAGACCTGAACGGGGTGATGAGTGACGGGGCGAACGGAAAAGAAATGCCAACCATGCATCCTGGCCGGGTATTCCTTGCAGTGTAGCACCAGAGCATTGCCGGCCTTGCTCACTGACACCATAGCAGGGCTTAAACAAAACAACAATAATTAACACTTCACAAAACTCCATTCTAGCTTTGCACTCGGCTGCTAAGAGCTCCTCCTTGGCGACATTCCTGAAAGGCACACATGTACTCGTGGACACTTAATAAATAGCACTTAACCAGATGCCATTCCTACCTTTCCCCTCCGCTGCAAGAAGTTCCTCCTTGGCGACAGCTGGCGAGACGCCGAGCGCCTGTGCCACGTCAGCAATCGACACGCCGAAGCGCAGCGCCTCATTGGTCGATACCATCTCCTGGATTTTGCGTGTGACCTAGCATGCATGCAGGGGGAAGAGGAGAGAGGGGAAGACAAGGAGGGAAGCGAAAAATGAGGGGAGAGGAAGGGAGAGGAGGAGGAGGGGAGAGGTAAAGGAGGGGAGAGGTAAACGAGGGGAGAGGTAAAGGAGGGGAGAGGAAAGAGACGTGTGACCTGGCTCTTGCGAGTGACCTGGCTTGCACGCATGGGGAGTGGAGGAAGAGGGGAGGAGAGGAAGAGGAGGAAGAAGAGGGGGAGGAGGAAGATGGTAAGTGTGGAAAACAAACGCAGAGATGATATAATAAGTACATGGGAAAGAGAGGGGAAAGAGAGGGGAAAGAGAGGGGAAAGAGAGGGGAAAGAGAGGGGAAAGAGAGGGGAAAGAGGGGAAAGAGAGGGGAAAGAGAGGGGAAAGAGGGGAAAGAGAGGGGAGAGAGAGGGGAGAGAGAGGGGAAAGAGGGGAAAGAGAGGGAAAGAGAGGGGAAAGAGGGGAAAGAGAGGGGAGAGAGAGGGGAAAGAGGGGGGAAAGAGGGGAAAGAGAGGGGAGAGAGAGGGGAGAGAGAGGGGAAAGAGGGGAAAGAGAGGGGAGAGATCAGGGACAGATGAGGTAAGTGGGGGGACGATCGTAGGGCGAGGGCAAGAAAAGGTGGGGGAATGGAAGGGATGGGAAACAGGGATGGGAGGGGAAAGGAGAACTCACAAGGTACTAACAAATTGAAGACCAGTGCTCAGTCAAGAGGTGAATTGAGCTGTACTGTGCTCACATACTCATCACTAAAACAGGAAAAAAAGTGTGTTGAAATTTTGTCATTTGAGTCGGTGCAGTAGATTCACACGCTGTAACATACACATGCTTCACCGTTGTACTGTACACATGTTATCATCTCTTTAATGTGCACACACGTTCATTATAGAAATAAGATCCTCACATAGTCACATGCCTGTCACTGTGTCATGAATTCGTCATTAGCATCACTGTACTCACATGCTCGTCGCTGTGTGTCTTCAGCTGCACAACAAGGATGCCACTATCGAAGCGCCGCAGAATCGCAGGGCTGGGAAGTAGAGAGAGAGAGAGGGGGAGCGTAGTGAAAAGGTGAAAGACAAGTGATCAGCTGAGGAGGAGAACCTTCAAGCAAGGTGAGAGACTTCAGCTGCACAGCGAGGATGCCACTATCGAAGCGTTGCAGAACTGCAGGGCTGGGGATAAGAGAGAGAGAGAGAGAGAGTGAGAGAGAGAGAGAGAGAGAGAGAGAGAGAGAGAGAGAGAGAGAGAGAGAGAGAGAGAGAGAGAGAGAGAGAGAGCCTATGTCCCTTAGTATTTAGGGCCCTCAGTCCCTCTCATTCCTCAGTTTTTAGTTGGGGTTCTTCTTTTTTCTCTTTCCCTTGGTGGCGGGGGAGAGAGGAGAGAGAGAGAGCGAGAGAGAGAGAGCCTATGTCCCTTAGTATTTAGGGCCCTCAGTCCTCTCATTCCTCAGTTTTTAGTTGGGGTTCTTCTTTTTTCTCTTTCCCTTGGTGGCGGGGGAGAGAGGAGAGAGAGAGAGCGAGAGAGAGAGAGCCTATGTCCCTTAGTATTTAGGGCCCTCAGTCCTCTCATTCCTCAGTTTTTAGTTGGGGTTCTTCTTTTTTCTCTTTCCCTTGGTGGCGGGGGAGAGAGGAGAGAGAGAGAGCGAGAGAGAGAGAGCCTATGTCCCTTAGTATTTAGGGCCCTCAGTCCTCTCATTCCTCAGTTTTTAGTTGGGGTTCTTCTTTTTTCTCTTTCCCTTGGTGGCGGGGGAGAGAGGAGAGAGAGAGAGCGAGAGAGAGAGAGCCTATGTCCCTTAGTATTTAGGGCCCTCAGTCCTCTCATTCCTCAGTTTTTAGTTGGGGTTCTTCTTTTTTCTCTTTCCCTTGGTGGCGGCTCGCGCCGGCGGCCTTCGGCCGCCGTCGCTCGAGGCGCGGCCTTCGGCCGCGCGATAGGGCCGGCAAGACACCAACAACCACTAGTTACTGAAGCACACAATACAAAGCATCCAGGACGGCACCACCACCTACACGGCTCAACAAGCAACAAGTCCATCGGCATAGAGGGCCTGATCAGCCGCACGGAGGCCCTCTCCCTGTCGGACCACCCGCCCGTGCGGACGTACACCCGCCGAGGACTCACCCCACGAGCTCGTGGACCCCAACCTCTTCCAACATGTCCGCCTGGTAGCCGACCAGGACCTGGAGCGTGGACGCGAGGCCGCCTATTAAGTCTACAATTGACACCGAGTCTACGCTCGCCGACACTTGGCGGAGCCCGGCGAGCAGCCTCGGGTCCGTCGCGCTTCCCGGGACGCGCGCGGGCTGCGCTCGCAGTGCCGCAAGGGCGAGCTCAAGGGCAGCTTCTGAGCATTCCCGCAGGGGAGCATATGGCATCGTGCTCAGGCTCCCTGAGCTCAATAATGCGGAGTGCACACTCTGCATCATCCCCGCCATCGTCTCAGTCGCCCGCCTCGCGTGCCACATGCGCTGAAGTATGGCGACTTCAACCACCGTCTCCTCCGGAGGACGCTCCCGCCTCGGCAGCCGATCCAGACGCACCCTCGGAGGGATCCGCAGCCCTCCAGACCTCCGCCGCTCCCGCAGCCACCCCGGCCCAGGGGAGTCCTCCATCGACAATTCCGCACCTCCCATCTCCGCTGCTTCTGCCCCCCCCTCAACTCCCGTTGGGGACACCACGAGACGCCTCGGAGGCACAAACGGGCCACTCACCCCGCCCGAGAACAGCGTCGGAACACCCAGCCCATCCGGACGCCGAGGACCGGGCCATAGCAGCGCGGGATCAGGCCCCGACAGCGGCAGCGACGAACACAACTGCGGCGGTTGCCACTCTGGCGGAGTGTACCCGCCTGTCGGCGGAGCAGACTGAATGGGCGCGTCTGGAGAGGGCAGCCCTTGGAGTGACTGCCGTGGAGCAGCGGCACGGGCCAGGTGCGGCGTCGGAAGGAGTGGCTGCTGTGTATAGCCTGGCACCAGCGGCCGAGGCTGCATCGGGGGCGCCGCCTGGGGGGGCACAGAGTGCGGGGCGCGAACGCCCGCTAGTATGCCCGCGAGGGTCGCCGCGCTGCTTGCCAGTGATCGCACGGCTCCGCGGTCGTACCCCCCGCGCCGACCCCTCCGCGCCGACCCTGCGGGGCGTCCGCCAGGGGAGGAACCGCGACCACGATACGCCTGGGCGGCACGCGGGGGCCGTTGCGGTTGAGGCTCCGGCGCCGGTTGAAGGGGTGGCGCTGGCGGACCCGGCGGAGGCGAGGGCGACGCATGGCGCTCCACTGGAGGCAGGGGACCCGGCTCCGCCCCCCGAGTCAGAGACCGTGGCGAGCGAGGCGGGGAATCCTGCGACCGCTGCCCGCCGCCCGCCACATGGGGCCTCTCCCGCTCCCGTGGCGTCGACGATCGGCCCGCCGACCGCCCGCGCGACTGATCAGGAGAGGAGGGTCGGCTCCCAAGGCGAGCGGAGAGACCGCGCTGCCACTGCTGGTCTGAGAGCTGCGACGGGAAACCCCCCGGACCTTGGTGGGGCGCGCTTTCTCCGGTACTCTCCAGGTCGGCAAAACGCTCGCGGCACGGGCGACGCGCGTGTTCACCCCCCATCGTTGAACGCCCGCAGCCCGCGTCCGCGGGACAGTGCACAACAGGCAGCGATGGTCGCCTCACACGGAAACGGCAGGGGCAGGGGAAGAACACACGGGAGGGGCCGCGGCCGTGGTCGACAGATAAATCCGATGGCAGGAGGAGGCCCAGTCAATGGCTTCCAGAGAGCTGCGGGGAGGGCTTTAAGGGGGCAGGCTCGGGAACAAACAACTGACGAGGAGGAAGGGAGAGACTCCACTTATATGGCAGACGAAGATGCCAACTCCGAATCGTCAACTGACGACTCTCATGGGAGTGAAGGAGTGGAAACTGGATTGAGGCGAGGTTGGAGGAGGGCGCGAAATGCTCCCAACCTCGGGCCACGAAACCCGCGAAACTCGCGTACCACCCGCGCCAGCGAAGCAGATACCAACCAGCCCCAGAGGCAGTTCTCGCCCGAGGAGCTGTCGTCCAACGAATTGCTGTTCGCTGGGGTGGCGGGATGGGATATTGATCTACTGTGCGACAGTCGCCAACCCCCGATATCCCGCCGGATCCCCCCCAAACTTCGCCAGCTCTTCGCCCTGGCCCTCCTGACACCCCTCCTTCATATCGCACAGAAGCCAACCAGCGCTGCCGGTTGGCGCCTGTTACTCTTCGTACCCCGACTCACCCTTCGCCTGAATTCGCCCAGGCGCCCTGATTGGGCCGCGGTGGAGAAACGCCTGCAACATTTCCTGGCAGGCGAATGGCACCAGCTGTACCTGGCAGCAATCGACGCCGTGAACACCCCCCCCGCACCCCGCCACATCGCAGACCCCCTCGGCAAAATATCCAGGGCAGAAGGGCTGGTCCGCCGTGGCAGCCTCAGGCGCGCATTGCTCGCGCTGGATTCGACGCCAGTCAGCGAGTCCACCCCCGAGGTCCTTGACGAGCTGAAGTCGAAACACCCCGCACCGTTGACTGAGTCGTTCGCCTGGCCAGTCATCGATGAGTCAGAAACACGCCCAACAATTTCGCTACCTACGTTCATTCGGTTACTCAGTCGCTGCGAAAATGGGGTAGGAGCGGGGCCCTCAGGAATGTGTTTCGAACACATTCGCGAGGCCGCACTCGCCAACGGAACCATCGCCAGTAAGCTGCACCATGTGGCGCTATGCTTGCTGAAAGGAGACGCAACGGCTGAAATCGCAGCGCTCCTCACTGCCAGCCGTCTACTCGCGTTCCCCAAGCCCGGGGGAGGCACGCGACCAATCGCCATAGGGGAGTGCCTCCATCGCCTGGTGGCGAAGGTGGGCCTCACCACGATGACGGACCATGCCCGAGCTCACTTCCTCCCGCTGCAGTTCGGGGTAGCGGTACGAGCGGGCGGCGAAGCGATCATCCACGGGGCACGGGCGTTCGCCGCAGAATTCCCCTCCGCCCTCTTACTCCAGGTCGACCTCTCCAACGCCTTCAACAGCGCCGAAAGGGCAGCGATCGTAGCCGGCCTATACAACTCGCCCCTCCGACCGCTGCTCCCCTTCGTTCAGCTCTCCTACGGCGCCCCGTCCCACCTCTACCTCGACGCGGGCTTCAACAGCGGGCCGCTCCTCAGCACCCGGGGAGTACGGCAAGGAGACCCAATGGGGCCCCTGCTCTTCGCGGCGGCCATACACCCAGCACTCCAGGCGACGGCCGCAGCGTTCCCCAGCGTCCTCTGCCTGGCGTACGCCGACGACATCACGCTCCTGGGGGAACCCTCTGCGTGCGCAGCGGCATTCACGCACCTCACAGAAGCCCTGCGCCCCCTGGGCCTAATGCACAACCCCTCCAAATGCGCGGCCTGGTCCTCCTCCCAGCCCCCCGCCTCCCTCCTCCCCCCTGGCATTCCCTTCCACGCCAATGGCCTGCGCATCCTCGGGAGCCATGTCGGCCCACCCGAGGCCACAACTGCCTTCCTCCGAGAGCAGCTGGCCGACATGGCCAGCCCACTCCCCACCCTGTCTGCCATGGACCCCCAGTCCGCCGCCCTCCTCCTCCACCGCTGTGTCTCGCGGCGGGTATCCTACCTCACCCGCACCACCCCACTCAACCTGCTGCCCGCAGAGGAGTGGTCCCGGTGGGGCCAAGAGCTCTTCTACACCCTCCTCCGTGCGTGCAAACTCCAGCTCCCCAGGGGGGAACGAGAATCGTCGTGCATTTGGCAGCAAGCATCTCTGCCCCCCTCACTCGGCGGCTTGGGTCTCACGGACCCCACCGTGGAAGGACCCCATGCCTTCCTTACCAGCGTCACCCAGGCCCACCAGCTCCTGGTCTCCCTGCCCTCGGACCCGACCGGCCCGCTCGCAGCCGCCGCTTGCTTCCTGGCCCCCCCCTTCACTGGCCCTACCCCTCTACATACCTGGCTGGCGGAGTGCGAGGCGGCCCTCCCAGCCCCAGCCTTGAAACTCCTCCAAGCCGAACGGGCAGAGCCCAC